GGGTCTTTAACACCCCAGGTTTCTAAGCAGGACCCTGTCAAGTCCGGGTGCTTTTTTTCCAACTTTCCAATCATCTCAGCACCTGCGGCTTTAGCCACAGATATTATTTCTGCGGCGGGAGGGGGTGGGTGTGCCTGGGGCAACAGGAAAAAAAGTGTGTGTGAGGAGGTGAGTGAGGGGCAATTAATCCTTTCCAGAGTTAGTTGCGCACAGGTCTGTGTGTCCCCCCGTGTCCCCGCACGGTGACCGGCTCGAACGCGAGTGTACACACACACACACACACCCGCGTGTGTTTGCGGAGGAGGAATTGGCTTTTATCAGTCGATTTTAACATGTTTTCTTTATTTATCTCTCCGTCCCTTCGCCTGCTCGAGTGTCCTTTGGCCGTTTGCACCGGGAGGTGAACTCCGAGTCCCCGTTCCGCCGCATTCAGCGGGAAATACGCGGTTCTTCCCGCGTCCTTAGGTCGGTTACCTATTTAGCGGCGCTCCCGCTGTAGCACAGGGCTTGTGTTACCGTGTCACCCGAAAGAAAAACCACCCCAAAATTAAGTTAAAAGGCTCGAGAAGGGCGATGTAGGGGTGCCGCGGAGGTTGCCCGGGGAAAGCCGCGGGTGTCACGCGTGGAGGAGGCTTTTTTTCGGGGTTTTTTCCCCCCACCATCGTGCTGCGGGGACGGGGTCGGACGGTGTCTTGTGTGGAACCGCCGTGCCCTCGGCCGGGAGGAGCGGCCATGCCCCGTTACGCCGCCGCCGACGGGGCATGCCGTGCCATCGGCCGGTGCCGGAGCGCCGGGGACGCCGTGGTGGGAGCCGGGGCGGCCGCAGGTGCCACCGGTCCCGGTCCCGACCCCGCCGGTCAGTCCGGGGCGAGACCGGGGGGGACTCGGGGATGCCGCACCGGCTCCGGTGGGACCCCGGCCGCCGGGACCCCGCGTACCGGCGCAGCGTGACGGGGAGACGGCAGCCGCTCCCCTCCCTAGGCGACGAGGCTGGCTTTTCTTTTTATTCGGTGGAGTTTTACCTCATTTTAGCATCAATTTGATGATTTTTCACCCGCCGCTCCCCCCCCCTATATCACGACCCCCGGGCGGCCGCAGGTGAGGCGGCGGCGCTCCGCTCCCCGCTTCGCCGGGGCTGGCCTTAACCCCTCGCCCCGCCGGCGGTGGCGGCTGGAGGGGGATGGGACACACACACACACACAAGGCACGGCGGGGCATGCTGATACCCCGGTGGTGGCACAGGGACCCCCCCAGCCCACCCCAGCCTGGTTGTGGGATGCTGATACCCCGGTGGTGGCACAGGGACCCCCCCAGCCCACCCCAGCCTGGTTGTGGGATGCTGATACCCCGGTGGTGGCACAGGGACCCCCCCAGCCCACCCCAGCCTGGTTGTGGGATGCTGATACCCCGGTGGTGGCACAGGGACCCCCCCAGCCCACCCCAGCCTGGTTGTGGGATGCTGATACCCCGGTGGTGGCACAGGGACCCCCCCAGCCCACCCCAGCCTGGTTGTGGGATGCTGATACCCCGGTGGTGGCACAGGGACCCCCCCAGCCCACCCCAGCCTGGTTGTGGGATGCTGATACCCCGGTGGTGGCACAGGGACCCCCCCAGCCCACCCCAGCCTGGTTGTGGGATGCTGATACCCCGGTGGTGGCACAGGGACCCCCCCAGCCCACCCCAGCCTGGTTGTGGGATGCTGATACCCCGGTGGTGGCACAGGGACCCCCCCAGCCCACCCCAGCCTGGTTGTGGGATGCTGATACCCCGGTGGTGGCACAGGGACCCCCCCAGCCCACCCCAGCCTGGTTGTGGGATGCTGATACCCCGGTGGTGGCACAGGGACCCCCCCAGCCCACCCCAGCCTGGCTGGCAGCCGCAGGCACATTGCCCGGGGCCGGATCCCCCCCCCCCCCCCCCCCCCCGACACCACCCCCCGAGCCAAAAAGAGGGAGAGAGAGAGAGAGAGAGAAAAAGAGAGCAGCGCCCGGGCGGAGCGGCGGAGAGGAAGAATTAAAGCGAGCGAAGAGAGGGAGGAGAGACAGAGCAGAGAGAGAGAGAGAGAGAGGAGGAAAGAGGAGGAAAAAAAAAAAAAAAAAAAAAAAAGAAAGGCAACCAACCAACCAACCCAACCACCAGCCCACAAAAACAAAGCGATCGCAGTTGATGTTGCTGCTGCAAGCTGGACTTCCAAAAACTACGGCGAGACCGTCCGCTCTCCGCGCCGAGAAAAGTCTCCTCAGCTGTGCGTGTTTTTTTCCGCTGTGTGTGTAATCTTTAACCTTTTATTCATTCTTATTTTGATGGCTTTCCTGAATGGCTGACTGCGAGCTTCCCTGGACCTGGCCCCCAGACACCCGCCTCTCCTCCTTCAACTACTCTGCTGCAGATCAGCTCTAAGAGAGAGAGAGGGAGATCTTTGAAGAGATTTTTTTTTTTTTTTCCTCCTCTCTCTCTCTCTCCATTTGTTTGTTTTGGAATTGATACCAGGAAAAAAAAATGTAACTAGGAAACAGAATACATAACCGCCTGAGGTGATGTACAAGAAGTTTCTTCGCATTCTCTGACTTTTTCCTGGTTAAAACCAGTTTGCCTGGGGATGGGCCAGCTCGGTTTCGGCTTCTCCTGCTTTCCCAGCATTCCACAGACTAACATGAAAAAAAAAAAAAAAAAGACTGCTGTGGCAAAGCTGATCTGAAAAGCAAAGCAAACAAACTTTGAAAATAAAGGGGGAACAGGAAGTTTGGCAACGGTGTCCAATAGATATGGCAATGGTAGTCGGTGCGTGGCGAGACCCCCAGGACGATGTGCCCGGAGCTCAGGGAACGCAGCCTTCGCAAGCCCCGCCGGTGCAGGGACCTCCGGCCGGGGCCCCGCACACCCCTCAGACCCCGGGGCCCGGGGGCCCTCCCAGCACGCCAGCCCAGACCAACCCGCCAAGCCAGCAGAACCAAGGAGACAAACAGCAGCAGCAGCAGCACATTGAATGTGTGGTTTGTGGGGACAAGTCTAGTGGCAAACATTATGGCCAGTTTACCTGCGAGGGTTGCAAGAGTTTCTTCAAGCGGAGTGTAAGGAGGAATCTCAGCTACACTTGTCGTGCCAACAGGAACTGTCCCATTGACCAGCACCACCGCAATCAGTGTCAGTACTGCCGCCTCAAAAAATGCCTCAAAGTTGGCATGAGACGGGAAGGTATTGGGATTTCATTTGTTTTGCAATTTTTTTTTCACTCGCTGCGTTTTTGGGTTTTGGTTTTTAGTTTCCTTTTATTATTATTATGATTATTATTTTTAACTTCCCTCCCCAAACCCCAAACCAAATCAGAACCTTTCCTCTCCCCCCCCTTTCCCTCCTTCCTTCCCTC